TTGATTGATTGATTGATTGATTGATTGATTTTTTATCCTCACCTGAGGACATTTTTCCATTTTTTGTTCAGGTAGAGTGGGAGGGAGAGAGAGGAACAGAGAGAGAGAGAAACATCGACATGAAAGGGACACATCGAGTGGCTGCCACCCACACGATCGACCAGGGCCAGGGACAAACTGCAACCGAGGTACGTGCCCTTAGCGGAAACCGAACCCGGGTCTCTCTGGACCGCAGGCCGATGCTCTAACCACTGAGCAAAACCGGCCAGGGCAGAGTTTTATTTATTTTTATGGCTGAATAATATTTTATTGTGTGGATAGATCACAACTGGTTTATTCATTTATGTTTTCCATACACCTGACTCTGCATCTTATTTCTTCTCCTAAGAGACTGTCACTCAGAAATCTTCTCATGCCAGTACCTGAGTACTGTTAGTACTTGGCACTCATTTTCTCAGCTACGGAGTAACCCTTAGGTCTGAGTCAGCTGGGACCATTGTAACAAAACACCATAGACTTTGTGGATGAAACAACAGACATTATTTTCTTATGGTTTTGGAAGCTAGACATCTAAGACCAAGGTGCCAGGGTTGATTTCCGGTGAGAGTCCTCTTCCTAGCTTATAGCCGCTGTCTTCTTGCTGTGTCCTCATTCAGCATTTCCTCTGTTCTTGCACACAGAGATCTCTGATGTCTCTTCCTCTTCTTATAAGGACGCCAGTCCTATTGGATCAGGGCCCACCTTTATGACTTCATTTAATCTTAATTACCTCCCTAAAGGCTTTTTCCATACAGTCACATTGGGGGAATTTGACTATATGAATTTGAGGGAAACACAATTCAGTCCATTATGCCTTTCTGTGGTTGGATCCTGTCATATTTAACCAGCCCCCTTGTGAAGGGCACTTAAGTCATTTGAATTCATTTGGCAACTCAAACTAGGTTTTAGAGGAGGTATCGGCAAAACTATATCCAGCCACCTGCTCTTGTAAGCGACATTCTCTTACTGTTTACATCATGACATGGCTACGGGAGGGAGGGAAGAGAGAGAAAGAGAGAGACATCAATGTGAGAGAGACATCAATGTGAGAGACACACATCAATTGGTTGCCTCCTGAACTGGGGATTGAACCTGCAACCCAGGTACATGCCCTTGACTGGGAATCAAACCCTCAACCCTTCGATTTGAGGACCAACGGTATAACTTCTGAGCCAAATCAGTCAGGGCATAAATGAAAATTTTAAAACCAACCAGCCAAACAAAATCCCTAATGGTGAAAATGCCATCTGCTTCTTTTTTCAATTGGTATCAGTGATTGTTGCTATGGTCCTCTACTGTCTCATCAAAGATTTTAGCCTAAAATGTCACAGCTTGGCAACATCCATGTGTTCATCCTTGGCTAGGGCTGAGAACCCCAGAGTGAGTGAATGACCAGCCTCGGCAGGCAGGCACTTTTCTTTCCTGAGTCCAGACTTTTCTGTTGGGAGGTGGATTCTGATTTGTTACCCCCCCCCCCAATGACTGTTATTAAAATATCTTAAACCATAAAATACCTCTTGTCAGGGGTGGATCCAGGTTTCATGGGCCCTAATCACAGAAATATATCAATGCTGCAAATTTTACATGAACAGTTGACCAGGTGAACCTATCTCCTGAGACCCATGTTGTTGTTGTTGATGACAAACTCATTAATTTAAGGACAGTTCATGGACAAACATGGGCTATTGACATAAATTAGTGTGTGTGTGTGTGGTTAAGACACTCCCTTTTCTTGGAAATTGTGCTTTTAAGAAACATCTCCTAAAATATAAGGAAGGAGACCCAGCATGTGGAGAAATAAATTAAGACTATGGCAACCCACTCTGAGTCCTGTTATTAAGAAAATATTGCCCGGCCAGTGTAGCTCAGTGGTTGAGCATTGACCCATGCACCAAGAGATCACTGGTTTGATTCCTGGTCAGGGCACATGCCCAGGTTGTGGGCCCGATCCCCAGTGGGGAGAATGCAGGAGGTGGCCAATCAATGTTCTCTCTCATCGATGTTTCTATCTCTCCCTCTCCCTTCCTCTCTCTAAAATCAATAAAGAAAAAATAAAATAAAAAAAAAAACAAAAAAGAAAATATTGACGTGTCTCTTGTGTTATTTCTACAATGGTACTTAAATGTCCCCCTAATGGATCTATAGCACCAGTTCAAGAGGAGATTTTCACTGTTTTCTAGAACCTTTTAGCTGTCACTAATAAATTGATACTGGTTTCCTGCATGCTTTCTTAATAAATGGCTTGTATTTGTAATTTGCAAGATGTCTGCACAATTGTCTCCTCGCATCAATTCAGAGGGTGTGTGTTGGGGGGGGGGGACTTGGAGGGTCCTTGTCTCTCCATTTTCTCGCAATTGACACTCTTGGAGCTTTATGACACTCGCGAGCTGAGCGGCTTTTCTGGGGGACGCAAATTCATCGCAAGGAGACGCCAGACTCGGGGCACTCGTAGCGCGGCCGCGCATCCGCTGAAGGCCGCCAGAGGGCGCGCGAGACCGGGACCCGGCCGCTGCCTGGCGGTAAAGCCCGGGGCGGGGCCACGGCCGCAGGGCCGCAGAGAGGGGCACCTTAACGCCGCACTCAGGGTCCTCCTTTCCCCAGTTACCATCCAGGTTGCTCCCCTCGGCGGTAGGCGCTCCACCGCCCTCTATATCCACACCATCCTGTCTCCCACTCTCTCAGCCTTTATCTGTCCCTCGTTTTCCCGCTCTCCTTTGAGTTGCTGCTTGCATCCCAACCCTCCTTTGTGTCCCCCTTTCTCCACCCTCCTTTGCACATTGCATTTTCCCATGCTCCCTTTCACCCTCATTTTCTCTTTCTCCTTTGTGCCCCCATTTTGGTGCCCTGCTCTTATTTTATGTTATTTTATTTTTATTTATCTTTTAAAAATATTTTTTTTATTGATATTTTTAGAGAGGAAAGGAAAGAGAGAAACATCGATCAGCTGCCTCCTGAACGCCCCCTACCGGGGATCCAGCTGCAACCCGGGCATGTGCCCTGACCCGGAGTCCAACCAGGACCTCTCAGTCCAGGGGACAACGCTCAGTACACTGAGCCACACCTCTCCTTATTTTAAAAGGCCATTTAGGCCCTGGCCAGGTAGCTCAGTAGGTTAGAAGTTGTAGGTTCCATCCCTGCTCAGGGCACATACAAGAATCAGCCAATGAAGTGGAACAACAAATTGATTTGTCTCTCTCTTTCTCCCTTTCTCTCTCTCTCTAAAATCAATTAAAAAACAAACAAACAAAACCATGTAGAGAAAGATGTGGAAGAACATACTCCTAGCTGTCAACGTGGCCCGAGTGCCAGGGAGAAGACAGTTCCTCTTTCATGAATATCTTTCTTAGTTCCATTGTTCTAAGAAGCAGGAGATTTGACAAACAGTCATTAGATTAATTCAAGTGTAAAGTATTTTCTTTGAGCTGGGCCCTGGGGGTCACAGAAGATTCTGAAAGCCCTGAGTTCCCCAGGACCTGGACATGGATAGACACACTGCAGCCCAGGGCTGGACAGAGGGGGCACAAGGTTGGTGTTGCATGGACTTAGATGCAGTGGGATCAGGCAGACAATGTGGGTTAGGGGCTGTAGGAGCTGGGCCTGGGAATCTGCCCACATGCACATTGTTTTGCCCGAAATGCCCTTTCTGCCTCTGTTATCATCAAGAAAGTCCCAGTGAGCCCTGGCCGGTTTGGCTCAGCGGTTAGAGCATCGGCCTGCAGTCCAGAGAGACCTAGGTTCGGTTCCTGCTAAGGGCATGTACCTTGGTTGCAATTTGTCCCCTACCCTGGTTGGGTCGTGCAAGTGGCAGCCACTCGATGTGTCCCTTTCACGTTAATGTTTCTCTTTCTCTCTCTCTCTTCCTCTCTCTCCCCCTCCCACTCTGTCTGAACAAAAAAATGGAAAAATGTCCTCGGGTGAGGATATAAAAAAAAAAAAAAGGAAGTCCCAGTGATCAATGACACATGGGCTCATGGACAATAGCTTCACCAGCTTTGGCTGAGCAAGCCTCAGATGGAGAAAGGATGGGTTCTTGGGGAGGGGGCACAAATTCCCACCTTCATGACAGTCTTGGAGCTTCAAAGCCCAGCCTTGATCTTGCTTCCTGTGTGGCCTCAAACAGTTATATTGGCCTCTCTGAGGCTTGGGAGACGGGTGAACCAAATGAGCTAATGTGTGGGCAGGGACTTTGGGGACCCAGTGGCTTGTAGTTAGATTCATTCATTCCTTTTGATTCATTCATTTCACACTGGTTTCTTGAGCACCTACTATGTACCAGACTTTGGGAATATAGCTGTGAATAGGACAGCCAAGGCCCTTTCCCCCTTAGAGCCCCCAGGTCTAGCAGGGGTCATCAACCACATAAGTGGTTAGTGCTGAGTACTCTACCCCAGTGGCATCTAGGGGTATCAGGATGGCACACCATATATATATATATATTTTAGTCCTCATCTGAGGACATTTTTCCATTATTCAGATAGAGTGGGAGGGAGAGAGAGAGAAACATCAATGTAAAAGGGACACATTGAGTGGTTGCCACCCACACGACCCAACCAGGGCCAGGGACAAACTGCAACCGAGGTACATGCCCTTAGCGGGAACTGAACCTGGGTCTCTCTGGACCGCTGGCTGATGCTCCAACCACTGAGCCAAACTGGCCAGAGTGCACACCATACATTTTCTCCCACTGTTCATGTGTCCTGTTTGGAGGAGCCAGCAGGAAAGTAGTTTGGGGCACCTGCTTCTCGGGTACCAGGAGCCTTGCTCCAGTATCCAGTTGTGATGTGATAAAGATTTATGACTGAACCTCCTCCCCTGCAGTGATCAGGCAGCCAGAAGAGAGAGGAATAGAGCAAGTCAGCTTTAGTGCTCCCCCACCCCCCGACCCCTACCATCTCAGGAAACATTAGCCCAGAGGTTTAGGAAGATGCTGACTTAAATGTCCAGGGCACCTGTCTGCCAACATGACTGAAATACACACTCCTTATTCTTCCTTGAAGAGACTGTTATCTTTCCTCAATGGCTTCATGGCTGTAAGTATGTCACAAACCAGGCCCCCAGGCTTCGCAGCCCTTCCTCCACAGCTTACTCCCTCGAAGACAGAAATAAGTTGATCCAAATTCATTGGCATCCAGATCTGTGGTCCCCGGTGAAGCAGGAGGAATGTAGGGCAGGCTGACGAGGAGGAGGACATGTTGGGAACAGGCGTAGCCTCCAGTGACCCAGAACTGGTGAAAATTACGGAAGAGTGTGATCTGGGAGCCCAGAGTCAGTGGAGGGACAGCTTGGCTGGAAGTCAAATCCTGCAGAAAATGAAATTGTTTGGGGAGGATAAGAGGGAGTGGTCATTTCTTGGTCTCTTTAAAAATTTCAAAACATTTTTTTTCTTATTATAAAAATAACTCAAAATGTGCATTGTTCAAGAAGTAATTGTTTTCATAATGGAACAGTAAAAGGAGAGGCTACCGGGAAAGAGAAGGATATTAACTATCACTCCTCCTCTTTTCACCTGTACTTCGACATTTTGATGGGAATTAAAGGGGACACTGCATTTAAAGGGCTTATGCCTATTATGGGCACATTGCTCAATAAAAAATCATCATTAAATCCTTCCAGACTTTTCTATATACCTTTTAAAAACAGTGTAACACATGTGTAATACTTTCAAGAATAAAGATAACTTTTTTTAAAAATCCTCACCTGAGGATATTTTCCTATTTATCATCAGATAGAGTGGGAGGGAGAGAGAGAGAGAGAGGGAGAGAGAGAGAGAGATATAGATGTGAGAGGGACACATCGACTGGTTGCCTCCTGCAGGATGAGACTAGGGCTCGGATGAACCACAACCAAGGTACGTGCCCTTGACCGGAATCGAACCCACGACTCATTGGTCCGCGGGCTGATGCTCCAACCACTGAACCAAACTGGGCAGGGCTAAAGATAAATTTTAAAAAATAAAATAAAAATAGAGTAACAAGCATGGGATGCTATTAGTTTACAATCCACTCTTTTTCCTTTTTAATAAAATGAACTTTAACCCCCTTTTGGAGTAGACTTTAGTTTTTAGCGCAGGTATATAGGTTCACAGCAATAGTGAACAGAAGATAGATTTCCCATCCATCTCCTGCCCTACAGGTGCACAGCCTCCCTCTGTTGTCAACATCTCCACAAGAGTGGTGTATATGTTATAATTGATCAACCTACATTGATACGTCATTATCACCCAGAGTTTACATTAGGGTTTACTCTTGGTTTTGTACATTCTATGGCTTTTGATGACATATCTATCATTTTAGTACCATATGGCAGTGATTTTCAACCTTTTCCATCTCATGGCACACATAAACTACTAAAATTCTGCAGCACACCAAAAAATATACTATATTTTTTTGCCTAGCTGACAAAAGAAATAGGTATAATTTTGTTTACTCACACTGAATGGCTATTGTTGAGTTGGCTGTTGTCATTTTTTTTGTTTGACAGTCTCAGGGAACAGAGGTCAGTGCCTCTGACTAAATGGTCAGGTGTTGCATGTTTTAAACATTCTCGCGGCACACCTGCTGAAAATTGCTGCCATGTGGAGTGGTTTCACTGCCCTAAAAGTCCTCTGTGCTCTGCTATTCATCCCTTCCTCCCCCTAATCCCTGGCAACCTCTGATCCTTCTATTGTCTCCCTAGTTTAGACTTTTTCAGAGTGTCATATACTTAGAATCATACACATGTAGCCAGATTGGCTTCTTTCACTCAGCACTATGCTTGCAAAGTTCCTTCATGTCTTTCCAGGGCTTGATAGCTCATTTCTTTTCAGTACTAATATTCCACCATCTGGATGTCCTAGTTTATTTGTCCATTCACCCGCTGAAAGACATTTTGGTTGCTTCCAATTTGGGCCAATTATGAATAAAGCTGCTAAAACATTCATGTGCAGGTTTTTGTGTGGACATAAGTTTTAAAGATTTATTCGCAATGCTACATTTATTGCATTCTCTTAGAAAACAGAGAACTGTTTACATACCCAATTTTTATATATATATATATATATATATAAAACTTTATAAAAATTATGTGTAAAGGACAAACACATGACCTTGCCCCCTGGATTTTAAGGGAATGGCAAGAACTATCTGCTAACAGATAACCACTGCATTGTATAGATAACCATTGCTTTGTGTACACCGAAACTGATTGTTCCCTCAGGCATAACAGCTAACTGCAAATACCTGCTTCTGTACGTGCTTGCTTGCTAGCATAACTTTAACCCAAATTCCTTAACAGGGGCTAAGACAACTATATCAGCAACCCACCCCCTGAGCTCGGGGCTGCTCTCTCCTCTGCGTAGGATGGGACAGTTGCCGTGCGGCTAATAAAGCTCTCTTAATTTGAACCCAGTTTGGAGTCTGAGTCTGGTCTGTCTCGTTGGTCTACAACATTTGGAGGGCCCAGCGAGATAGACAAACAAGGTCCCCCACTTTGGTGGGTTGACCTCCTCAGACTCCAGGAGACTGGTCCATCCCAGGATTGGACAGGTGGCCAAGGGGAAGGCCTCGGAGAAGACGTTCCTCCACGCCAGACGCCATTCTGCCCTGGAAATTGTCTCTACTCCAAAATTCCATCTAGAGAGCATCTGAAAACCCTGGGCCCAGGTTCGGTTCAGCAGACGGGACGTCCCTCGGTAAGTCTGTTTCTGAAAATTCTGCAGAGTAAGGGGAAGTGGATCTGCTGGACGCAGCAGGGCCATAGCGAGATGTTGCTTTTGGCCCCGGTTCGGTTTGTCTGTTTTTTTTTGTCTGTCTTATTTGTTTGTCCTTTTGTGTTTTGTGTTTCTGTGCTGTGCCCACCTGTGTCCTTCAAAATGGGTCAGGGACTTTCAGGACCTAGGACCCCTCTTCAATGTCTCCTTAATAACTTCTCAGACTTTTCCAAGTGCGCCTCAGGTTACAGCATCTCAGCAGACCCTGGATTCTTGAGCACTTTGTGCGAATGGGAGTGGCCCACTTTCCGGGTCGATTGGCCCTCCCAGGGCACTTTTCACTTAAGCTCTTTGTTCGCAGTTCGAGGCGTCATCTACGGGACTCCCGGACACCCAGACCAAACTCCTTACATCGATGTTTGGATTGACATAGCCACTGACAAGCCTAATTATATTAAGAAATGTTCGTGCCCTAATAGGGAGAAGATTTTAATTGCCCAGCTTCCGCGGAAGCCTCAGAAGCCCTCGGCTCCTGCTCCCTCCCAAAGGCTGTACCCTGTTCTTTCAGGTCCCCCGGAAGACCCCCTCACTGACCCCGTGGGGCCACCCCCTTATCGGCCACCGCCACCTGCTGCCATTGCTTGAGAGGCTGAAGCCCTTCAGCCGCTCAGTCCTTCCCATACACGTGGCGGCACCCCGTCTAACCCTCCTCCGCAGGCGCCAGACTCCTTGGCTGCCGTCCTGCCCCTCCGTCAGGTTGCTCCACCACCGGGTGGAGACCAGACCGGCCCTTCATGGTTTATGTCCCCTTCTCAACTAGCGATCTGTCTAATTGGAAACAACAGAACCCTTCCTTCTCTGATAAACCCCAAGGTTTAATCTCTCTCCTAGAGACAGACTTCCACACCCATCAGCCCACTTGGGATGACTGTCAGCAATTGTTGCAGGTCCTGTTGACCTCCGAGGAGAGGGACAGGATCCACAGGGAGGCAGTAGAATTCATCCTTGGGTCAGACGGCCAACCCCTCACAGGTCCTGCCTCCCAACTACCCGACCCAATTGGGACCCGAACACTGATCAAGATAAGGAGGCTTTAACCCAATACCCCAATCTCTACTCCAGGGCCTCCGCGGAGCTGCCAAGAAGCCAACTAATCTGTCTGAGGTAAGCGAGACTGTTCAAACCGCAGGGGAATCCCCAGCGGCCTTTCTTGAACGTCTCATGGAGGCTCATCGCCTCTTTACTCCCATAGACCCGGAGGCCCTGAGAATAGACGGGCAATTAATATTGCTTTTGTCACCCAGTCGGCCCCAGACATTAGGAAGAAACTCCAGAAATTAGAGGGTTTTGAAGGAAAAAATCTTAATGAGTTAGCTGAAATAGCTCAGAGAGTATTTAACAACCGGGACAACCCAGAAATGGCCAGTACTAAAAAAGTCACAAGAGTAATCATTGCCGCTCTTCAAGAGAATCAAAAAGGGCAACGGGGAAATAGGCCTAAAAACACAGGGCCAACCCCACGGAGACCTAGGCAACGATCTCCGCCACTTCTTGTGACCCTAACCAATGTGCCTACTGCAAAGAATATGGTCATTGGAAAAAGGACTGCCCTAAGAGGGGGCCCAGCAGAAACCTAAGGACCTCATCCTCTTGGAAGACACTGAATGGGGGGGTCAGGGCTCCTACAGATTAGGTCCCCGGGAGCCCAAGGTAACATTACAAGTTGGGGGCCATCCTGTTGAAATTCTAGTTGATACTGGAGCCACCTTTTCTGTTTTAAAGCAGACCACAGGGCCACTCTCATCTGAGAAAACACCAGTTGTAGGGGCAACAGGGAAATCCCAATCCTACCCTTGGACTACAGCGAGAATAACTGACTTAGGCAAAGGAACTATCACTCATTCCTTCCTAGTCATGCCGGACTGTCCCTACCCTCTCCTTGGCCGAGATCTCCTCCAGAAATTGCAGGCCATGATCTCCTTCAAACAGGAGGGCTCCACCCTAACCCTCGGGGAACCGGCAGTCTCTCTCCTGCTCTCTGTGCCCCTATCCGAGGAATACCTCCTACTAGAGAAGCCTTTTAAAGAAAACTCTAATGCTGTCCTCGAAAAATGGAAAAAAGAAATAGCGGGGGTTTGGGCAGAAACTAACCCCCCTGGCCTAGCTAAGCATCAGGCTCCAGTTAGAGTACAACTAAGCAGCAATTCGGGTCCGCCAATACCCGATCTCTGTAAAGGCCAAACTAGGAATAACTACGCATATTAATAGACTCAGAGAAGCTGGCATTTTAAAACCTTGCCAGTCGCCTGGAACACTCCCCTCTTGCCAGTTAAGAAGCCTGGG